GGCCCTCTGCATCTATCCTAGCATCCCCTTCCTCGTCTTCTGAGCGCTCAGAATCTGATCAGGCTACAACAGTTAGAAACTTCTGGAGAACAATAATGACCGCTGTCATGCCTGTTTTCACGGGATACCCTCTGTCTTCTTTGCAGTGACAACTGTAGGAGCCTTGGCCGGCGGGCAGCCCCCGCACCCTGCGGTCATTGCGCAGCCGAAGGCTCTGGCCCAGCCCTCCGCCCCCCTTCCACAGGCCCAGCCCAAGCAGGCGCTCTCGGGGCAGCAACCTGCTGTGGCCACTCAGCCGCAAGGCCCTGGGACTCCAGCCCAAGCCACGCCGCAGCACCAGCTCTTCCTCAAGCAGCAACAGCAGCAAGCGCAGGCAGTGCCACAGCCGACAGCACCCGCTGCGTTTTATCAGCAGGCGCCGCAGCCTCCTTTGCAGGCTCAACAGGTGAGACAGTTGGTTTTGTAACCTTTGTCGGAATACAGTATTTGTTCAAATCCAATGCTCACCTTTTTTTTTGTTGCTAAATTTTATGTCAAGCCTCTTTGAGCCACTTTGGGGAGATAAAGCGGAGTAGAAATAAATATGATGATGATAAGAATAATAATAATGATAATATTAAGGGAGCCAGCATGGTGTATTGTTGTGTTTTCACACTGAGTGTCCTTCTTCCAGGTGATTCCTCCAGCCGCTCAGCCACAGGTGAGGGTGGGGCCGCAGGGGACCACTGTGACGCCCACACAGCCGTTGGCACCACAGCAGCCGCAGCAGCCTCCAGCCGTGCAGAATTACATGCAGCAGCAGCAGCTGTTGGCCCAGCAGGCTGGCCTCCAGCAGAAAGCAGCGGCTGGGCAGCCAAAGCCTCCGACTCAGATGGTGCCGCAAGCAGCGGTCCAGCCTGTCCCGTCGCAGGATCACCCGGTAAGCCACTAGATCTAAACTCTGTGTTTGATACCAAACAAATGGAGTGCATGAGTCTGCCTTGGTTTAGACCAGGCCTGGACCAACTTCGATCTCCAGGAGTTTTGGGCTTCAACACCCACAATTCCTAACAGCCGATGTTATGTTATTTATTCATTTATTTCGTATCAAAAGCATTGCATAAATTAGTATAAAATTGATAAAAATAGAATGTGTCTTTTGACCAAAAACGGGCAACAGCAACGGCATTGTCTGTAGCCTCCAACAATTCCTCCTCTGTACATGAGGCAGGGCACAATGGACAAGCATACAGATGCAGAGTTGTCTGTTCTGCTCCATAGTCACACAAGATACGGGATTATTTTAGGTAGTGCCATTTGTCCAGGTTGTCTTTTGATCTGCCCACTCCGCTTCTGAGTCTATTCAGGGACTTCCGGGTTGCCCATTCTTGGTTTGCCTCTCGCGGGGGGGGGGGGGGGGGGGGGGGGGGGGGGGGGGCATCCAGTTGGGATTTCCTGATTTAGCTGCCCAGAGAGATACCCTTGCTGTTGCTGGGGGGACACCAAGAGGAGTGGTAGTTCTCATAAAGCTTTTCCTTGATATTATTATTATTATTATTATTATTATTATTATTATTATTATTATTGAGAATTGTAGTAATGAAAGGGCCATCTAGTTCAATCCCTAGTTAGTGCAAAAATTCACTGGTTAAACACCCTTGAGAAATGGCCACAACCCAAGCAGACCTGTCAGGGTGTTGCCGAAGGGTTTCATGGCTGGAATCACTGGGTTGCTGTGAGTTTCTCCTGCATCTATGGCAGGAATCCTCAAAGGTTGAGGGGTCTGTTGGAAACTAGGCAAGTGGAATTATGTCCAAGGTGGGAGAAAGAACTCTTGTGTGCTTGAGGAAAGTGTGAATGTTTCAAATGGCCACCTTGGCTAGCATTTAATGGCCTTTCAGCTTCAAAGACTGGCTGGTTGCTGCCTGACAAATTTGTGAACATTCTGTGGCTCCTCCACGATGACATGATGGCAACAATCTTGGACAGCAATAGCTCCCAAAGTGACCCATTTAAGGTGGAATCAGGTGTCAAACAGAGATGATGTGTTATTTCCCCAACCTTATTCTCTGTTTTCATTGTTATGATACTTAACCTTGTTGATGGGAAGCTTCCCACCGGAGTGGAATCATCTATCAGACAGATGGCAAGCTATTTAACCTCAGACTCCAATATGCTGATTATAACATCTGTGTGCATTCAGAAGAAGACCTACAAGCCACTCTAAACGCCTTTGCAGAAGCATACGAGAAGCTCTCATTGAACATCGAGAAAACTAAAGTGCTCTTCCAGCAAAAGGCACCAGCCAATCCCTCTGCAATGCCAAAAATACAGCTTAATGGTTTGCCCAGGCCTGGCTTAGACTCATCGCATTGGAAGCGGCCATTTTGCCATGATCTGACAAACGGCTATTCAGCTGCTGATCCTTTTGGATTCTGACCCTGTCCTCTGGATTATTATTAGCTATCCCTACTGATTTGGGGTCAAATGTTGTAACTTTGGTGCAAAATGTGTGTTGGGAGGAACCCAGAAGTTTGTTTATTTATTTAAAACATTTATATTCCGTCCTTCTCACCCTGAAGGGGACTCAGGCCGGAGCACAGTATATACACGGCAGATATTCAGTGCTGGAACACAAATTTACATACAATACCCGGTATTCCCAGGCGGTCTCCCATCCAAGTACTAACCAGGCCCGACCCTGCTTAGCTTCCGAGATCAGACGAGATCGGGCGTGTTCAGGGTGGTATGGCCGTAGGCACATACAATACATAAACATTAAAAAAAAACAGTTGGGGGCCTTACCTGCTCGAAACCAAGCTGGTGGGAGATTTGCACCCCTTCCCCTCCTTTCCTTATCTGCAGCTCCTCGCCAAAGGGAAGGACGGGAGACAAGCCCTCCATTTAATGCTCATATAATGCATGCATTCATCTCAAGCAAGTGCTCTTTACTTAATGAGAAATGGTTTTCTTTGCACCGAATGAAGCAGCTGCCTCACTGTGCAAAAAAGGGGGGAAAGGGGGAGGGATGGCAATGGGCCAGGAATTTGCAGATGCTTGCAAATGCAATTTCACTTTGGACTCTCTTTCTTAGTCCCTTCCCTTCATTGCTATTCAAGGGTGATATATGTATGTATGTATGTATGTATGTATATGTGTGTGTGTGTGAATCAATACTCTTACATTTGTTAAAATTTTCAATTTTTTTATTTGCATTTTTTTAAAACTTGGATTTTTTAGGTGACAAGCCAGCCACCTTGGGTCCCTGTCTTCCTCTTTGTTTCTTTTTTGCACTGAAAGCCACCCCTTTCCTACTTTTGCCTGTGTGTCTTTGAACATTCGAAGAAACCATTCTAGCCAAGGCGATACTTATCCCCAGCTAGAATTCTTCTGTGATGCCCAAAGGCCTTTTGTTTTGCCATCTGCTTTCCAGAGTGGGTTTGGAAAAGGAGAACGCTGGCAGAAATCATCACTCGAAGAGACTCCTAGACCATCTCTTCTGTTCATTCTAATACCCCTATCTACAGTGAAACCAAAGTCCAGTGGATGCTAAGGATGCTGGCATCGTCAGACGTTCTGTTGTCAGTGAAGCAAGTGGGGTGTATATATACCCATGGAATAATGTCCAGGGTGGTAGAAAGAACCCTTCCCTGTTTAAAGCAAGTGTGAACGTTGCAATGAGCAAGCTTGAATAGCACTGAGTAGCCTTGCAGCTGCAAAGTCAATCAGTGAGGATATAATAATAATAATAATAATAATAATAATAATAATAATAATAGTAATAATAATATAATAATAATAATAAAACTTTATTTATACCCCGCCGCCATCTCCCCAAGGGACTCGGAGCGGCTTACATGAGGCCAAGCCCAACAACACATCAATAAAACAAGAAAGCAATAAACAAAAACAATACAATTAATATAAATCACATATAAACATTAACGCACAAGTATTTAAAAACCTATGGCCGGGCCAAATGTAATAGTTGAAAATTTAAAAAATAAACGCTGGGCATGAACAAGGTAGGATGTATCTGGTAGGAGGGTTTTAAAAGAAGTGAGGGGAGCGCAATCCAACGAATAGTTAAAGTGAATTCTGAGGACATTTTGCTGGGTATTATTTCCTTATTCCGGGAAGGCACACTGGAACAGCCACGTTTTCAGGCTCCTCCTAAAGACTGCCAATGTTGTGGCATGCCTGATATCCCTGGGAAGTGAGTTCCAGAGTTGGGAGGCCACCACTGAGAAGGCCCTCTCTCTTGTCCCCACCAATCTTGCCTGCGAGGGACGCAGGAGCGAGAGCAGGGCCTCTCCAGATAAACAAAGAGATCGTGTAGGTTTGTACACGGAAATGCGGTCATGCAGGTAGGCGGGTCCCCAACCGTTCTGCATAGAGGTAGCCTGGCCTCTGTTGCCTGGAGGCATCCTCTTTTTGGGAGGTGTTCACTAACCATTGATTGCTTGTTGTCTTGAGTTCTCCTGCTTCTGAGTGATTTCCCTTATATACTGTGTAGTCTTTCATTATGGTTGTCCGAGTGGTGCAGCATTTCTGTGTTCTCCAATAATACTATGTGTGCAGGTTGGTTCCTCAGGTGTTCTGCTATGGCTGACTTCTCAAGTTGAATTAGTCATCAGTGCCTTTTGTGTTCCTTGATTTGTGTCTGGGCATTGCTGGTGCACTTAGGGGTCTCTATGGGGATTTGTCCACAGCTGCACACTATATGGGATAGATAGATAGATAGATAGATAGATAGATAGATAGATAGATAGATAGATAGATAGACGCACACGCACACACACACACACACACACACACACACACACACACACAGTAGAGCCTTGCTTATCCAACGTAAACAGGTGGTAGAATGTTGGATAAGTGAAAATGTTGGATAATCAGGAGGGATAAAGAAAAGCCTATTAAATTTCAGATTATGTCATGATTTTACAAATTAGGCACCAAATCGACAGAGAAAGCAGTTCAGTACATGGCAATGTTACGTAGTAATTACAGTATTTACGAATTTAGAACCAAAACATCACAATATATTGAAACAGCTGTGGATCTGGGTGAGAGGCAGACTGCGTTGGATAATACAGAACATTGGATGAGAAAAGGTTGGATAAGCGAGACTCTACTGTACCTGTGGAAGAATGTCCAGGTTGGGAGACAGAATAATAATAATAATAATAATAATAATAATAATAATAATAATAATAATAATCCTTTATTTGTACTCCACTACCCTTGTTTGTTCAAGAAAATAGACCAATGTTATCTCTTCCAGATGAGGCTTTTCTTTATAGTAAAATAATATGGTTGCACTGTTTACAAGAACTAGGTTTCTATATCACAAAAGACAAATTCATAGTAGCTTTACACACATGAATGGAGCTTTCTCACAATGGAACTTTCTCACACAGGCTTCTCTCACACTGAGGTTTACCTCACACTCCTCAGGACAACACTAGCTTGGGCCCACTAACACTTATAGGCTTCGGCCTACTCACTCTCCTTTTTATATTTTTAATGTTGAACTGTTTTATAACTGTTTTTATAATTGTTTTTAACTGTACCCTGTTATTATTATGGCATCGAATCGCTGCCGATTGTGAACCGCCTTGAGTCGCCTTTGGCTGAGAAAGGGGTATAAAATGCAGTAAATAATAAATGAATAAATAAATAAATGACACTAGCTTTGGCCCACTAATTCTAACAAGCTTCGACCTTCTAACTCTTATCAGTGCTTGACTCACACTTTTGCAATCGAAAATACCCAGTTAATATTTAATATTTCTGACACACCTTCTATTTTGATTACAAAAATCCCCAATTTAAATTATACATACATTCATACATGCATAAAAACAATTTGCTGTTAAATTCACAGGATTTTACATTTAACTTTTTCAAATTAACCAATCCTAAACACAAATCAAAGAACATGAAAGGCAAGGCAGACTAATTCAACCAGAGAAGTCCGTGATAGCAGAGCACTTGATGAACCAACCTGGATAATATTTGAGAACATAGAAATGCCTCTAGGGACAGTGAAGATATGAAGATACCTTCTCCAATTGACGTTGCAGCTGCAAGGCTTCTCAATGCTCATCATCTTGCTCATTACAGCATTCACACTTGCTTGAACAGATAAGAGTTTTGTCTCCCACCCTGGACATTCTTCCACAGGTTTGTGTGTGTGTGTGTGTGTGTGTGTAAATATTCCACTTGCTTCACTCTGAAGATGCCATTAGCCACAGATGCAGGCAAGACATTAGAAGTGAATTCTGCAGGAATATGGTCATACAGCCCGGAAAACTCACAGCAACTCAGTGATTCCATCCATGAAAGCCTATACATTACTTCACTGCCTGTACATCATAGAGGCACCCTGCGTTTCCACTTCCAAGTCTGACAGTCTTCCTTCCTTTCCTCTGCACAGCAAGCGCCTCCACGACAGAAGGACAAGCACCTCCCAGCGACCCCTGCGGCGGCTGTCCAGGGCCAGAAGGCGGGCGCCCTCACGCCACCCTCCTCCCCGAAGGCCCAGCGCGCCGGGCACCGCAGGATCCTCAGTGACGTGACCCACAGCACCGTCTTCGGGGTTCCGGCCAGCAAGTCCACGCAGCTCCTTCAGGCCGCCGCGGCCGAAGCCAGCCTCAACAAATCCAAGTATGCGCCTTGCATAGTGTCTTGCATAGCCTGCAGTTTAGCCACCAAAATCTGTGTGGGCACACACCTAAGTTCCCAGAAGTACACAGGCCCATAATAGTTGTACGTGGGTGTTTTTACACCAGGTCTGGGCCAACTTGGGCCTTCCCTCCAGGTGTTTTGGACTCCAATTCCCACAATTTTTGTGGTCAAATTACGGTTATGTTTATTGCTTTGCTCTATTATTGTTATTATTACATTTATTTTATCCTATAATTATTATTACATTTATTATGTTACTCTATTTATTATTATTATTATTATTATTATTATTATTATTATTACTATTACATTTATTATTTTACTATCCTTATTATTGGAAGGATGTGTAAGCACATTTATATTGAACAAGGTTAGAATAATAGTGGGAGTTGAAGTCCAAAACACCTGGAGGGAGGGCCCAGTTTTACCCATGCCTGTTTTACACCAGAGCTTTCCAAAGATTTCACATTGGTGACACTTCTTTAGACATGCATCACTTCATGACACAGTAATTCAGTTTTACCAGCAAACTGGAAGCTAAACTAACTAATTGTTGTTGTTGTTATATTTATTTATACTCCGGTTATATCTCCCCCTCGAAGGGAACACAAAGCGGCTTGAAATAAAAAAAACCCTTAGTGTATACTTATAAGACATACAGGAACATACATACCCGTATATATTCGAGTATAAGCCAACCCAAATATAAGCCAATGCACCTAATTTGACCACAAAAAAACTGGGAAAACGTATTGACTCGAGTATAAGCCGAGGGTGGGAAATGCAGCCGCTACGGGTCAATTTCAAGATAAAAATAGATACCAATAAAATGACATTAATTGAGGCATCAACACATTAAATGTTTTTGAATATTTACATAAAACTGTAATAAGACTGTCCAATTCTGATTAAACCATTATTCTAACCTTGTTCAATGTAAATGTGCTTATGTGTCCTTCCAATAATAATAAGAGTAAAATAATAAATGTAATAATAATTATAAATAGGGTAAAATAAATGTAATAATAACAATAATAGAGTAAAGTAATAAACATAACCGTAATTTGACCACAAAAAATGGGAAAACGTATTGACTCGAGTATAAGCCGAGGGTGGGAAATGCAGTCACTACGGGTCAATTTGAAAATAAAAATAGATACCAATAAAATGACATTAATTGAGGCATCAGCGGGTTAAATGTTTTTGAATATTTACATAAAACTGTAATAAGACTGTCCAATTCTGATCAAACCATTATTCTAATCTTGTTCAATGTAAATGTGCTTACACATCTTTCCAATAATAATAAGAACAGTAAAATAATAAATGTAATAATAATAATAATAATAATAATTTTAATAATACATAGAGTAAAATAATAAATGTAATAATAAGAAGAACAGAGTAAAATAATAAATAACCTTGACTAGAGTATAAGCCGAGGGAAACTTTTTCAGCCTGAAAAAAGGGCTCAAACACTAGGCTTATACTCAAGTATATACGGTAAATCGTAATATAATAATAATAGTAATTTGTTAGTAGTTTTAGTAGTATAAGCAATGAATGTTAGGGTAACAGAGATTGAAAACTAAATGTAATACAATAAAATGTTATATAATGTTCTTCGCTTGCCCTCCATGTCACTCTCCTCTCTCTTGATGATGTATTAGAGATTTTTTAAGATTTATTAATTGACTACCACTAACTGTAACACTCCTACCCCTCCTCGTATCATACCATACCATTCCCCCTTTGGAAAAATATTAATAAAAAGAAATACTCTATTATTATTATTAATAATAATAATAATAATAACAGCAACAATAATACTTTTTATTTATAACCCACCCCTCCTTATGGCTCAAGGCGAGTTACAACAAATTAAAAAAAATGAATAAACATAAACATACAATAAGATGAATGAATGGTTTATTGTACTAGCCATAGGCCATGACATCAGTAATATACTAACTTTATAAACACTTTCCAATATAAACCTTAAAACGTAACAAGAATTAAAACTAAAACAAGTTCTTTAAAATTATGAAAGCAGAAACATGACAATAACAGTGTCTGCTTTGTGTCATTCCAAACCGTTTCCATTTCTGACCCCCAGTATGGATTTTGCTACTTTGGCTCTGATCTTTTGGGCTGCGATTGCGAATGTGGCAACCTTTAGTGTTATATTTTTAGAATGATCTGCTAGCAAGTCGCAGATCACCGCAGATTGTTGCCATGATGCCCTTTCTTCCAAGAGTGATCCTAGGAGATTTTTCCTAGGGTCATTGTACAAGGGGCAACGTAGCAAATAGTGTGTTAGGTCTTCTATTTCCCCTGTGCCACAAATGCAAAGTCGTTGGGCATGGGGGATCCCTCTGTATCTTCCCTCTAGCCAGTTTGATGGCATTGTTTGGAATCGCAGGGCTGTAAATGCTTTCCTCAGGACCGCTGACGTTAGGTCTTGAAGATATTGTTGACGATATTGGTCACTTTTTAGCCGAGGATACCAGGTAGAGAAACCTTGCAGTTTGCTAATCTGCAAGTTGTCAGCTGCATCCCTCTCAAAGATTTTGTCTCTAATCGCCTTCTTGTCCAGATGCATTAGGGTATTTGTTGACCCATCAAAGTACTGAAGGAGCAAGGCTTGCCAGTATTGTGCCCATCCTCCCTGCTTATACTGCTCCATCATGCATTGCTTTGTTATACTCTCGTCCTCCATTCCCAGGAGCCTCTTCCCATATAAGATGTTAAGCTTATGCATTCTGGCCTTAAGTGAGGGAAGATCCAATTCCAGCCTTAACAAGGCAGCTGGAGTCCCAGGGGGAAGGGCTAACAGAGCTCTTGCAAACTTATTCTGAATACATTCAACCTGTTTTGTATTGCCCTGTCCCCAAATTTCGGCATATAATAGTTGGGGTAAAATTTTAGCAGCGAAAATCTTTGCTGTGGGACATACCAAGGACCCTCCCTTTGTTTTCCCGAAGGCTAGGATTGAGTTCACTGACCTCCATGCAGCTAGTTTGGCTGCCTCAATATGGCTCTTCCAATTTCCATTATATGAGAAGTGTATGCCCAGATATTTAAAGCTATGACACTGCTCTATTGAATGGCCATCCAATTTCCAATTGTGTATTTGTTTCCTTTTGGAGAATACCATTACTTTGGTTTTAGAGTGATTGATCCTCAACTTCTCTTGTTCGCAAATTCTGCTCAGTGACCTCAAAAGTCTCCTGAGACCTATTTGCGTAGTTGACAGGAGGACCATATCATCCGCATACAACAAGACTTGGATTCTCCTACTACCTGCTAAGGGAGGGAAGTGGTCGGGGGAGCTTAGCTCAGCAACTAAATTATTCACGTAAAAATTAAACAGAAAGGGTGCTAGCAGACAGCCTTGCCTAACTCCTCTTTTTTTTCAATGTTGTTTGATAGCTTGCCTGACAGGCCTAGCCTCACTCTTAGGTCTGTCCCCGAGTATAGCTGTTGCAATAATAACAATAGTCGTTATTATAAGATACTAAATTACATAGATAAACACACACATATATATTTATGCATGAAAACCTATACCAAACACAGCTACAGAATTGGCATATATTGGTAATAGAATGCAAGTCAAAGCTCATGATTGAAAGGCGACTGAGTAGACCTGCCAGAAGAGATGGAGGGATAACATATCTTATGAAAACTTTTATTTTAAATATATATGATTTTTTTTTGCTTACCTCAGGGCTTAGACTCAGGGCTTACTCCTCAGGTTTGCTCGACACACCTACACACTTGTCGCCGACACACTAATGTGTCACAGCACACAGTTTGGAAAATTCTAGTTTACCATGTAGAATGAATGCAATTGGAACCGCTTTAACTGCCATGATCCAATCTACGGAATCCTGGAAGTTGTGGTTTCCTAAGGCCTTGAGCCTTCTCTACCAAGGAGTGCCAAACTACAGCTCGCAGGATTCTACAGCTTTCAATCATGACAGAGTCAAGTTGAATCAAATGGAATTCATTCTGTATCTCCAGCAGCAGTGGTAGGCCTTGACATCGTGTTAGAAGTGGAGGTGCATTAAATGCAAATGGCAAAACATTTCTCTCCAGGTCGGCCTCCACTACGCCATCCGGGTCTCCCAGGACCTCGCAGCAGAACGTCTACAACCCACCAGACGTCTCCACCTGGAACCCTTTCGACGATGACAACTTCTCCAAACTCACGGCGGAAGAGCTGCTGAATAAAGACTTCGCCAAACTGGGCGACGGTGAGTTTGCAGGGACTCCAGGCTCCACTTGTCACAATCATTTCATTTCACTACTAGCCGTCCCCTGCCACGCGTTATTAGAAACCGTTGGTTTCTAATATATGTAATTTCTTTATGCTTGTGGGTAAACAGTATTTCTTGCTGTTTCTTTGTCAGTGTTGATGTGGAGAGTGCCTGGTTTGCCTACTCTGGAACATACAACATATAATTGTCCTTCTTTAGGGGTCCTTTTCAAACCTAGGATACTATATCTGTGTGTGTGTGAATCATATATATCTATCTATATCTATGGCAGGATGGCTCTTTGTCAGGAGGGCTTTGATTACGTTTTCTTGCCCTGGTGAAGGGAGTTGGACTGGGTGGCCTTAAGTATGAGGGTCTCTGTGTGGGAAGTTTGCCCCAGGTCTGTCATTGGTGGAGTTCAGCATGCTCTTTGATTGTATGTTAAATATAAATCCCGGGAACTACAACTCCCAAATGACAAAACCAACTTTTTTGAGTGATGGTCACTCCTTGGGTTAGTAGGTGTCTTGTGGCCAAATTTGGTGTCAATTCTTCCAGCGGTTGTTGAGTTATGTTAATCCCACAAACGAACATTACATTTTTATTTATATAGATGGCATGCCTGGTGCAGTTGCATAGCATATAGACAAATGGGACAGGAAATGGGAAGGTGACACTAGCTGTCCATAGACTAATGGCTTTGACATCCACGAAAGTGGGGAGATCGGAAGGTTGAGATTCCAGTACATCATGATGGATGAGAGCTGGATACATATGGATAGCAGAGCAGGATTTCTTTATTTATTTATCATGAAGTGTTAGAAGGCATGATTATCAAGTTTGCAAACAGGACCAAATAGGGAGGGATAACTAATACCCCAGAAGACAGGAGCAGAATTCAAAACAATCTTCACAGATTAGAAAGATGATTGGCCAAAACTAAGAAAAGGAAGCTAAACAGGAGAAATGCAAGATACTCCACTTAGGCAGAAAAATGAAGTGCAACGAGACAGAATGGGGGACGAGGCCTGAATCGACAGCAGGACGTGTGGAAAAAGATCTGGGAGTTTTCATGGGGAGGAAGGGGAACATGAGCCAGGAATGTCATGTGGCTGCTCAAAAAGCCAATGAGATTTTGGCCTGCATCAAGAGCAGTCTAGTGCCCAGATCCAGGGAAGTCATGCTCCCCCTCTATTCTGTTTTGCCTTGGTCAGACCACTATATCAGAAACCACATTGTGCTCCATTCTGGGCACTGTGATTGAAGGGAGATGTTGACCCTAACCTGGAATGTGTCCAGAGGAAGAGGGCAACTCAAACGATCCAGGGTTTGGAGAACAAGTCCTATGAGGACAGAGCGGCTGAAAGAGCTGAGCATGTTTAGCCTGCAGAAGAGAAGGCCAATAAGAGACAGGATGAGGGCCAGGGATCAAGAGGTGAGGGGAATGTGTCATAGGGAGGAGGGAGCAAACTTGCTTTCTGTTGCCCTGGAGACTAGGACACAATGGAGCAATGGCTTCAAACTACAGGAATGATGATGATGATGATGATACTTTATTTATACTCCAGTGGAGCTCCTTAAACAGGAGAGTTGACCACTCCTCGTAATTCGCTTCAGTTAGCAATCTGGCTGTCGTCTGTTGGACCAATTGAAATTTCCGGGCCGTCTTCAAGGGCAGCCCCACGTAGAGTGCATTGCAATAGTCCAATCTGGAAGGAGATTCCATTTGAACATGAGGAAGAACTTCCTAACAGTGAGAGCTGTTCAGCAGTGGAACTCTCTCTCTTCCTCGGAGTGTGGTGGAGGCTTTTCAACAGAAGCTGAATGGTCATCTGTCGGGAGTGTTTTGAATGCAATTTTCCTGCTTCTTGGCAAAATGAGGTTGGACTAGATGGTCTCTTACAATTCTAGGATTCTATTATTCTGATTCAAACAGACCGTATAGTGTGACAAAGGCAAGGACTCCATGGTTTCGCATTGATGTGGCATTGCAGGATGTGCCATGGCAATTAGAATGTGGAAGGACAGGTGTGTTGTTTTTGTGATGTGTCCAGGGGAAGGCATTTAATTTCGTTGTGCAATAGCGCAATGATAATAAAGCTATTCTGTTCTAAGTATTCATGTATATACTCGGTGTTGCTTGAGTGTCATTGGGACCAACCCCTGCCTGCCTACTTTCTCCCTTCTCCATCTCTGAGAAGGAAGCCTTTTCTCACAATGACTTATTTTTGTCATCTGGCAGATGGTACACGGTGACAAAGGCAAGGACAAACAGATCGAGAAGAAGCTTTTATCCTAGAGCTGTGGCTGTGTTGAACTCTGTGGCTTCACATTGACGTGGCATTGGGATGTGTGCGGTGGTAGTGGGAGTGTGGAGGGACGGGGTTCTTGGTTTGTGTTGTGTGCTGGGGAAAACATTTAATTTTGTTGTAGAATAGCACAATGGTAATATAGCTGTTCTATGAGGATGTATTTCCAATTTGGATCTCGTTGAGGATGCTGCCCTGAACTTGCTCTTGGGATTTCAGGGAAGCCTCCGGAAAAGCTTGGCAGTTCGGTAGAGAACCTGATCCCCGGTTTCCAGCCAGCACCACCCGCCACAACCCAGGCCGATGCCTTTGGTCCCTCTCCCCTTGCACCTGTGCCAGGTAAGCCCACTCAATTCAGGGCCTTCTGATGGTGTCAACAAGGTCTGTCTTTGTGAGGCCTTCTTTGTGCCTGATCTCCGCACCGATAATTATTTTCCAACTTCTCAGCCTTGAAAATTTGCCTCCGCTTCAAAGGCTTTTGATTTGTGACGCTTGTGCCTTTGCTTGGTTGCTTTGTCAGTTTCCTTCCTGTTTAGTGCCGTGGTGCGATGGATTTGATTTATCACCTGCTTGTTTGCATTGCTTTATAAACTGCTGTGCCGTTTTGGGACCACTAGTGTAAAAAACAGTTTTAGCAGCAACGATAAATAGAAGAGTGAAATTACATCTCAGCCGATGGAAGATATATAGTTAGGACTTCACAGATTTGGGGACTGCAGTCAGCCCCTCATCTTGGCAGGCTTTTCTTTTGCAGATTCAATTACACTATGGAAACACATTTGAAAATATTTCTGTTCCTGGTTTGAAAGTGTTGTTTTCTGGCGCTTCCTTTAAAGGTCATTGTTCTACTCCAGGAACTTTGTTTTTGTGACTGGCACAAACTAGGTTGAATTGGTTCAGACTCTATAATGAGATTCATGGGAGAACTATTGCAAATTGTGCTATAGCAGGGAGTCCCTCCCGCAGAAACAAACTTTCTCCATGTTTTTATGATTGAACCAATTATGAAATGACATTGATAACCCAGGAACAAAAATTGTGTTACATAGTGTTATTTATGGAGTTTAGGAATATGGTCTCTATGGAATCTCTAGGTCTTTAGTGCAACTCTGTGATCAAACTTCCAGCAGAAGTTGAGTCATACTAAAGGTTTTGGAAAATGGAAATCTCCTCAACCTTTTTGGAGATTTTATGATCGTTGGAAAGGCATTTTTTTTGTCGTGTCAGGAGCGACTTGAGAAACTGCAAGTCGCTTCTGGTGTGAGAGAATTGTCCGTCTGCAAGGACGTTGCCCATGGGATGCCTGGGTGATTTGATGTTTTTATCATCCTTGTGGGAGGCTTCTCTCATGTCCCCGCATGAGGAGCTGGAGCTGATAGAGGGAGCTCATCCGCCTCTCCCCGGATTCGAATCTGCAACCTGTCGGTCTTCAGTCCTGCCGGCACAGGGGTTTAACCCACTGCGCCACCGGGTTAAACATCGGGTTAACAAGGTCATGGAAAGACATGACCTTGTTAGAAGTCACAACCTTTTGAAAGGTGATGACATAACCTTTTAGTAAAAGCATGGCCTGTTGGGAAAATTCATATATTAACCAAAGTAAATGTACAGCAGAGTAACTTAGCAGCAGCAGCATGAACCCAGCACCAGTAGCCGAAAGTGATAAAAAGAACAAAAAACACACAGGCCAATGTTATCTCTTCCATAGGAGGCTTTTCTTTATAGCAAAACAATATGGTTGCACTATTTACAAGAACACATATAAAGTTCTTTGCTTCCACGCTTGGCTCCTTTCTCATGCAGATAAAAAGCTTTGCTCTCACAGAGACTCTTCTCACACTAAACTTACACAGGAGCTCCACACAGTAGGTTTTTACACACAGCAACCTTCACAGTGGAGCTTCACACATGAGGCCTTCAACTTGGGGCTTCTGTCACCGAATCCTTCTCACATCAGGCCTCTCACACACTGAGGCCTTCTCATACTGAGGCCTACTAACACACTGAGGCCCTTCTCTCACAGACTGAGGGCTGCAAACACTGAGGGCTCTTAAGCTACAGACACACCTGCTTATATTGAACTTCATCTTTTGCTGAGTCATTGTATCCATTTAACCCTTTCAGTGCTTGACTCACATTTTTGTAATTTAAAAAGCCTAGTTAATTTTTAATATTTCTCATCTCATCTCATCTTTAATTACTTATTAATTGCCCTCCATCCGAGATGCTCCAGGCGATTTATACTGCAGGAATCACACAGGATAAAACACATACATACAAATATTAAAATTAACATGAGTCAAATGCTCCAGTAAAAAATCCAGGTCTTAAGTGCTAGGATAAAATGCCCCAAGTCGCACATGGCTCTCAAATAGGGAGGCAAGGAATTCCACAAGGCAGGGGCAGAAATAGAGAAGGCCCTGCGTCTGGTGCTTTCCAAGTGCACTTCCCTAGGACCCCGTATATAGAGCAGATCACGTTGGGATAGTTGTGGCGACCTCCGATGATGGGAGAAGGAGAGACGGTCTCTAAGATACAATGGACCCTGGCCATATAAAGTTTTAAAGGTCAGGACCAGCATCTTATACAAACCACGATACTCAATTGGGAGCCAGCGTAGATGCCGCAGCACTGGTGTTATATGGCATTTCATGTGTGTTTTTGTGAGTAACCTGGCTGCAGCATTCTGGACAATAAGGAGCTTTCGGGTCATAGAAATAGGAAGGCCAACATACAAGGCGTTGCAATAGTCCAGCCTAGATGTGACCGTGGCATGGATGAGTGTTGCCAGAGCTTCATCCGACAGGTAAGGTGCCAGTTGCCTCGCTTGTCGTAGATGGAAAAAGGCCTGTTTGCTGGCAGCAGCAACCTGATATTTCTGACAAATCTCACTATCAAGTGTTTTTTGTGAATCTTGGAAATATATTTTGAGATTAAAAAATGGCTCTTTTTACTGTCCAGGGCAGGGATAAGGTAGCAATACTATCAGAATCCAGCTCAACTCCTTTTGAGTGCATGTGGCTCCGTGTCACATTTCCTCTCCTGTGCTTTGCTTTGCGTTGACATCTTTCTCTCCTCTCTTCTTTTTCTTTTCTCTCGCTTCCTCCCTTTCCTTCCGACTTCTCCCTTCCTTGGCTGTGTTTCCAGCTGAAAAAAATAAAGACATCTTGGACTCCAGCCCTCCGCTGCTGGCGGTCGCTGACCCTTTCATTCCTCTTCCTCTTCCGCTGTCAGAGACGCCAGGTAACTGCGACATTATGCCTCTGTGGGGAGAAAGGATTTGCATTAGGGATGGGGATTGTGGACGTATTTGGGGGTTTTAGCATGCGCCGTCATCCACGACAACCCTTCCAGGTTACGTCGGTAAGTTCACGTTCTGCTGTTGCTTGCATACAATCCACGGAGTCTCCTCACACTGAGGTGGATCAAGTAGTCCTATATTTCAGGGTCAAACACTGTTTCTTTTATAAAATGTGAATCTCCATAACCGTTTGTGAAATGGAATCTTTGGAAAGGAATGACCTTGTTGGAAATCATAACCTTTTGCAAAGTATGATCTTCATGAGAAGAGTTAAAAACTTGCTTGAGTCAACCTTCTCCTTAGTGATAAAAATCCACTAGCATTCATACAAGGCAATTAGGTTTTTCGGCTGTTAGACTGAAATACCCTGGATACATCTTTGGACTGTTAGGTAAAAATATATGCCAATGCATAAAAAACATATATAGCAGAGTTTCAGAAGTGTTATTTCAGTTGCCTCAAAAACATTTACTCTTCCTTAAAACATCTTGGTTTAAATTATGCTCTCAAGAGACCAAAAATGAAGTAGCCTTCATTAAAATAACATAGTTGGTTTACTCACAAACTTCATGTATTCAGCATACAGGTACATTGCATAGCAATCCAGTTACAGATAGATTTGAAGTAGTTTCTCTGTTTAGACAACACAGGGCATCCTTCTTATAATTTTAACAGGCCATAGTCTAAAGCAACTTTTTTTTACACTCTCCAACTTTAGTACCAAAAAAGTTACAAATCGGTTTTTGTCAACTTTAGATTCAGTTTGGTGATTTGAGGTGCTTACTCAGAAAATTGCATTGGATAGACCACATCAGTTCTAGTTTCTGATACAGAACATATTTTATCTAGTCGTTGCCATCTGCTTGCTCACAGAAAACCGTATTTAATCATCTAGAGCTGATGTGGTCTACGCAATGCAATTTTCTGAATCAGCATCCCTAATAATCCCAGGAACAGGCCCAAAAACGAAGACACCAAGGAAAAAAATGTTTTGGTTGGGCTGTGTTATGATTTGTGGGTTTTGTTAATGCACGTGTAAAAAAAAGAAGAAGGGGAGGGTGCTGAGTTTGAAAGAAATACAAAATGTGGACGCAAGACCCAAGAAACTGTCCCTTACGACTTTCTCTTGCCTCCCCTCCACGGGCACATGGCCACGAGGAAGGGAGTGTGGTCTGTGGGGTGTTGCAACAGTGTAGTATCAGTGAGGCCGCGGATCATATTTTAGTTCTTGCAGACCACTGTGATCCATGGAACAAATGCCATAAAGGTTTTTAAAATGTTTCAGGGACCATTTTTTTGGTTTTGGGGACCACTTGGTGGTCCACGGGCCACTGGATGGGAACCACTGATCTAAGGCATCTCTTTGGTCTGAGAGTCTAATAGCGTCTGAAAGTCTATTGGCTTCTATCCTCTCTAAAAGTCTAATGGCTTCTGCAGCCTTAACAATCTGGTGGTGTCTCTCTTCTAAATTGGAGTCTGAGATCAGAGCAGTCCCAGATCTGATCACGTGCTCTGCAACCCCTCCCACAACATAAAGTTAAGGAAAACTGCAAACCAATACACACATATACAATACAGGAAGCATTCTGAATTATATACAAACAAATAACCAGTGGAGGCTTGAAGAACATTGCTATTTCCAACAGTTTCATCATGCTTATTTTCAGCCCTTGAAAGCCAAAAGTGGTGTCAATTATTATAATAATTATTATATTATAATATTTATTTATACCCTACTTTATCTTTCCTGAAGGAGACTCAAAGCAGACAAGCTGCTGCAGAATAATAATAATAATAATAATAATAATAATAATAATAATAATAATGGTAGTGGAAAATGAACATGCAAAAATACTGTGGGACTTTTGAATCCAGACTGACAAAGTTTTGGAACACAATACACCAGACATCACGATTGTGAAAAAGAAGAAAGTTTGGATTATTGATGTCGCCATACCAGGTGACAGTCGCATTGAGGAAAAACAACAGGAAAAACTCAGCCGTTATCAGGACTTCAAAATCGAACTGCAAAGGTTCTGGCATCAACCAGTACAGGTGGTCCCAGTGGTCATTGGCACACTGGGATCAGTGCGCAGATCCAAGTAAGGTGGCCTTTTGCAGTTGACAGATCCTGATTTTGTCAATGTTTATTGTTTCCAAATGCCGGCTGAGATCTTTTGGCACGGCACCCAGTGGGACCACCTGTACCGTGCCAAAAGATCTCAGCCAGCATTTGGAAACAATAAACATCGACAAAATCACGATCTGTCAACTGCAAAAGGCCACCTTACTTGGATCTGCGCACATCATTTGAAAATACATCACACAGTCCTAGACGCTTGGGAAGTGTTCGACTTGTGATTTTGTGATATGAAATCCAGCATATAGATCTCGTTTGCTGTGACATACTGTGTTTTGTGTCAGTAAAATAATAATAATAATAATAATAATAATTTTACTTCTTACTCGCCGCCTCTCTTCGTATCTCAAAATGGGTTACAGCCCAGTCAAAACACACAAGCATTGTAAAAATTCTATAAACTGGCCGTGTGAGCCTCCTTCCGGAAGAGATGGGTTTTGAGGTGGGTTTTACATTCTGACAGCTTGGAGGTCTTCCTTTGGCAGGTTGTTCCACAGTCTTAGCACCACTATAATTGCCAGGTCTCAATGCAATTGGGATGATCGGAGTTGTACTTCTCTGCCAAAGCATGGCTGACCAAACCCAGGATTGGTTAGCACATTGTGTCGCATGAAAGGGCCTGTTCCTTGATGCATTTCTTCCCCAAATCTCGCCCCAGTTCAGTGCTTCCCTTCTGTTTGGTTCCTTCCTTACCTGGCGTTTTCCTTCCTCAGCCAATCTCCAAAGGAAAGGCCTGTGCTGCTGCCTCCTTTATTGACCTCCTTGCCCTTTTCTCTCTTTCCAAAGGCAAAGAGTGAGTAACGGGCCCAAAAGCGCCTGCTTCCCTTTTGCCTGTTCTAACTCGCACCCCGTTGGTTGCTCCAATTGCACTTTTCCTTCCTCCTAATTTCAGATTCCTGCTGCAACCATTAACAATACTATTCATACCTTGGTGTAACCAGCCTGAAAGTACTGATAGCATGGAGTGTTTGGAAGAGGCGCAAGTTTCGGCAGGACAGGATGATCTTAAAGGCAATTTGCCTAAAACAGGTCCTCTTCCTTGGCCTGCCTCTATTGAACTTTTGCCTGTAGAAAGAGTTGTGTTTTTTGCTCTCTCTTTCGCACATATAAACACGAAGAAAGAAGCAAGATGATAGTGGAGTCCATGTGAGTGGAATGGTGGATCCACTCTGGGATTTAACCTGAAATGTGATGAGCTCTTTCACTCCAAATGGGTCCCGCGTTCCACAAGAAGCATGTGGAAATCCTATGAATTAATTCAATCGCGTTTGGTTATATCCATGGTTTCAGGTGACTGCAAACCAGGTGGGAACATGGCGTCCCTTGAGAACAAGGAGAGGCCTGTTTGGAGATCCTAGAACGAGCATGAGCAAACCCTAGCCCTTCAGGGTTTTCGACTCCAACTCCCACAGTTCCTTTCTGCATCTTGCGCTGCAAGCATTCCCCTAGCTGGGTTTTATCCATTTTGGCTGTTCTCTCTCTGGCATTCTCTGTGTCGCCTGACATAGTGGTTGTTAGAGTGGTCCAGCATTTCTGTGTTCTCCAATCATATGCTTTGTCCACGTTGGTTCATGAGGTGCTCTGCTATGGCTGACTTCTCTGGTTGGATCAGTCTTCAGTGCCTTTCATGTTCCTTGATTCATGCCTGGACAATGCTGCTGTGCTTGGTGGTCCCTACGTAGACTTCTTGTCCACAGCTGCATGGTATATGGTAGACTTCTGCAGAGGTGAGAGGATCCCTCTTGTCCTTTGCTGAACATAGCATTTGTTGGATTTTCTTAGTGAGTCTGGGTTAAACCCTTGTGCCGGCAGAACTGAAGACCGACAAGTCGCAGGTTTGAATCCAGGGAGAGTGCAGATGAGCTCCCTCTGTCAGCTCCAGCTCCCCATGCAGGGACATGAGAGAAGCCCCCCCATAAGGATGGTTAAACATCAAACATCCGGTCAACGTCCCCTGGGCAACGTCCTTGTAGACAGCCAATTCTCTCACACTGGAAGCAACTTGCAGTTTTCTCAAGTCACTCCTGATACGAAAAAGTGGGTCTGTAGATCATTTGTAGGTTGTGTTTCTTCACCAGCTTCTCTCTGCAGTCTGTGGTTCACCATAAAAACCACAATGTCAGACTATACAGAGGGGAAGCCATTGAAATTCACAAGAAGCGCATGGATAATTTCAACAGAAAGGAGGAAACCATGAAAATGAACCAAATCTGGCTCCCAGTATTTAAAAAACTCTAAAATCAGGACAGTAAACAAAGAGGAACACCCAGAAAACAGGGGAATTCTAGACAGGAAACAATCTGGGTTAACAATGACCTTCCCCAGGCAGGAAGCAGCAAGGCTTTGAAGCTGCAAGGCCATTCAGTGCTAAGCAAGCTGGCCAGTTGCAACATCTCAAAACAGGCAAGAGTACTTTCTCTCACCCTGGACATCATTCCACAGATATATAAACCTCTCTTGCCTAGTTTCCAACAGACCTCACAACCACTGAGGATGCCTGCCGTAAATGCAGGTAAAATGTCAGGAGATAATGCTTTTGAAACACTGTCATACAGCATGTGATACCGCTTCTCTCTTGTCCCGCACGAGAAGCTGGAGCTCACAGATGGGAGCTCGCCCCATCTCATGGATTCGAACTGCTGACCTTCAGGTCAGCACGAGGGTTTCACCCATGGTGCCACCGTGGCCAAGTTACCTAATGGAAGGAAATAATGAAATTTATTAAAAAATGGAGCCTCGCATTTGCACAGAAAGGAAGACAAGCGTGGACTTTAAAATAGCTGCAAAGGGAATTGACTGAAGTAGATAGAAGGGTAGATTTTATGAGATATAGGATTCACTGTGAGTAGGGCTGGAAATCATGGGTGGTGAGCTTGCGGGAGGGGAATGATGGCACAGGATATTGCAATGTATCTGTATTAGATGCATTTGACTGCCTCTAGATATTTCTTCTGTTTATATTTTGCATTAACTTCACTTGAGATATATATATACACACACACACTCTTAAGCGATCCCTCGTTGTCCGAGAGATCTTCCAAATGAGTGTCCTCCAAGGTCAGTGTGCAGTGTGCGGTAGATGCATAGGTGACTGTGCATGTTCTCCTGCAGTGAGGGCATTGGTTTCCAGATGGAAGGCGGTCCCAGTTGGGGTTGGCTTGACACACCTTCCTCTTGACATGTTTCCCTCTTTCGCCCTCCATTCATGCCTCTTCAAATTCTACAGCACTGCTGGTCACAGCTGACCCCCAGCTGGAGCGCTCAAGGGCCAGGGCTTCCCAGTTCTCAGTGTCTATGCCAGAGTTTTTAAGGTTGGCTTTGAGCCCATCTTTAAATCTCTTTTCCTGCCCACCAACATTTTCCGTTCTTGAGTTCGGAGTAGAGCAGCTGCTTTGGGAGACGGTGGTCGGGCATCCAGACAACGTGGCCCGTCCAGCGGAGTTGATAGCGGAGGACCATCGTTCCAGTGCTTGTGGTCTTTGCTTCTTCCAGCACTTTGATGTTTGCCCGCTTGTCTTCTCAAGAGATTTGCAGGATTTTTCTGAGGCAACGCTGATGGAATAATTCTAGGAGTTGCATGTGACGTCTGTAGATAGTCCACATCTCGCAGGCCTATAGCGTATATATTATATGTATATAGGAATTGTGGGAGTTGAAGTCCAAAACACCTGGAGGGAGGGCTAAAGTTTGCCCATGCCTGATCTAAAAGTTGGAAGGGGTCCCTTAGAGGCCATCTAGTCCCACTCTTTGCTCAAGGCTAGAGCATCTCAGGCCTCTTCTAATGGAGCTTTTATGCCCATTCAAAAGGCTGTTTCCCCTCTTTCTGCCTGCCTTTTCCAGTTGGTAGCTTCTCTCTCTCTCTTAATGGGCTTGCAGCAAATTGGCACGAGGAAATTTGCACACAGCTGCCGGGGCCATTGAAAGCCCTTTTCTTTGTGCAAAACTAGCTAATTACAGACCTCCAGGAATATCGTTTGCATAATACCTCATTCATTTGGGCTTTTTTGCAACAGGACAAAAGGCAAACGGTTTCTCGCTGGAGGGATGAGGGTCAGAAGTACGAAATCAAGGTGTTTTGTAGGGAAACAGTCAAGAGTCGCTCTCTCCCAGACAAAGCAATGCACCTCATCCTCTTTTGGCACAAGAGCAAAGACGGCTGTGATAGATGGATTGAAGAAACAGTGGGCTTTCAAGCTTTTGCGGGGAGGGGAGTGGAGCATGAATTTTTGCGGAACAGTCCTGCTGTCGAGCTCCTCCATCAATAAGTGAATTAAAATACAACTTTCCCATCGTGGTCAACTGTGAATCGCACATCGTGGTCAACTGTGAATTGCAAGAATCAGCACTTCTTTTTCCCCTGCTCATAAAGCGCGCATTCAGACGAAGAACCAGATTTTTCCTTGTTTGTCTGTCCCCCAGGCACAACAAATGTAATGAAAGGCCAGCGTTGTCTGAATAGCTTATTGAGCATGAGGCACAGTGCTTAAAGGCCAAAGCGGCCGCCATGATGGTCGAAAGGAGAATACGTATATACTCGAGTATAAGCTGACCCGAATATAAGCCGAGGGACCTAATTTTACTACAAAAAACTGGGAAAACGTATTGACTCGAGTATAAGCCGAGGGTGAGAAAATGTAGCTGCTACTGGTAATCGTCAGTAGGTTAAATGGGTTGTTGTAGGTTTTTCTGGGCTATATAGCCATGTTCTGGAGGCAATTTTTCTCCTGACGTTTCGCCTGCATCTATGGCAAGCATCCTCAGAGGTAGTGAGGGCTCTGAGGATGCTTGCCATAGATGCAGGCGAAACATCAGGAGAAAAATTGCCTCCAGAACATGGCCATATAGCCCGGAAAAACCTACAACAACCCAGTGATTCCGGCCATGAAAGCCTTCGACAATACAGTAGGTTAAATGTTTTGAGTATTTACACAAAACTCTAATTTGAGATAAGACTGCCCAACTCTGATTCAACCATTATTCTAACCTCCTTCAATGTAAATGTGCTTACCTATTACCTATAATGATAGAATAAATCTACCCATGCCCCCCACCCTAACCCTATTTTAAGGATTTAATCAATTTTTAATCTTTTAACCTCTTTATCTTGTAGTTGCTCAATTATTTAGGAGTGGGTCGACAGGCCAGTAGGCCATGATGCTTTGTATTCATATATGGTTTTACTGTATGTGTATGATTTGTATGTTTTGCATGTTTTGATATGGTCAAAATTGACTAATCAATAAAGAATTGTTGTTGATAGAATAAAATAATAACTGTAATAACATGTAATAAAAAAATAATAGAGTAAATAATGGACATTTAATAATAGTAATAATAATAATAAAGTAATAAATGTAATAATAACAATAATAAAGTAAAATAATAAATGCAATCAATATAATAATACAGTAAAATAATGTAAATGTAGTAATAATAGAGTAAAATAATAAATGTAATAATACTAATAGAGTAAAATAATAAATGTAATACAAATAATACTAATAGCAGAGTAAAATAATAAATAACCTTGACTCGAGTATAAGCGGAGGGGATTTTTTTCAGCTTAAAAAAGGGGCTGAAAAACTAGGCTTATACTCGAGTATATACAGTACTTAAAGTTAGAAATTCAGCAAACAGACTTAAGTCAGAGTGGGGAAAGTCAGAGAGCGATAGACATTCCGGTTTAGTCAGTCAGGCAGTCCAAAAAAAGCTAGTCACACAAACAAAAGTTCTCAGCTGCTGACAGAGCGGCGGATGAAGAGAACTGAGGTGGTTGCCCCGCTCACTGGCTTATACTTATACTCACGAGGGGAGAGTGGGCGGGGCTAACCACCAGAAAAGTTTTCAGATCTATCTAGAACAGTGGTTCTCAGCCTGGGGTCTCCAGATGTTTTTGGCCTTCAACTCAGAAATCCTAACAGCTCATAAACTGACTGGGATTTCTGGGAATTGTAGGCTAAAAACATCTGGGGACCCCAGGTTGAGAACCACTGATCTAGAAGGTTCCGAAGCTGTCTGCTCCGGCACAGAAACTACCATATGTGCGAATTCACAGGTGACCACTCGGGAAACTACGGTTACAGGTAAGCAACCTATATTTACCCAAGGTCTAAATGGATTGGAACAGACTCAAATTTTAGCTAATACATGAAGGAAAAAGGTCTTTTCATTTCCTCCCGAGAAAAGGCACCTGGTAATGTGTAGAAATTGATTCACTATCCTTGGTTTTTCTGCTGCTGTGTGCCACAAAAACAAAGTTTCTGGAGTGACACCACTACTCTGAAAGTAAGGACCGCACAATGAAACAGGATTCAATACTTTCAAACCAGGAACAGAAAAAAATTCCTCACAACCGCAGAGGATGCCCTTCCAAAGATGCAGGTGAAACGTCAGGAGAGAATGCTTCTGGAATATGGTGAGACAGCCCGGAAAACTCACAGCAACCCAGAAAAATAATCACATTTTGTTACCTACAGTGTTATTCCTGTCTGCTGTGTGTTTTGAAGTAGTTGTGTGCAACTAAACATATGATTCACCTTTCAAGGTGCATATTCTACACTGTTTGAGCCTGCTTTCACGGTTCAATGCTATGGAATCATGGCAGGTGAAGTATCATAAGATTTTAAGCCTTCTCTGCTGAAGAATGCTGTGGCTTCAACAACTTCCAGGATTCCCTAGCATTGAGCCGTGGCAGTAAAAGGGGTGCCAAGCTGCATTAATTCCGCAGTGTAGATGCACCCTGAATGGAGTCGCATGGTCTGGTTGTTGTGGAGCATTAACTAAAGTGTGTGGAAGCATGCAGAGCGAAGGCCTTGAATGTGTGATAAATGTCGGTTCAAATTGAAGATGAGCCTGGTCCCTGGATCCCGGGAAGTCTTCTCACCCTTTCTCCAATTTTTTAAAGCATGATTTAAAGACTGGCGAGACAAGTCTCTAATGCAAACCCCTTTTAGGGTATGTTGTCATTGTCAAATGAATGCGTTTGGATCCTATGTGAACCTGGAAGCTGTGGTTTTACAAGTTTTTCCGTCTTCCATATGGAGCTGGTGCCTCACCGAACGACAACTCCCATAGTATTGAGCCGAGACAGTGTTGTTAACGCTTTCATTCTACAGTGTGGGCGCCCCCTTAGTTGTGAAATGCCTTTTCTTTAATGGATGTTCTTGGTTTCCCCCTCCCTTCTTCCTGTTTGACGCTCTTCCTCTCTGCTTCCTCCCTCCCTGCTTTCCTTCTGGGCCGTCAGAGAAACTGATTGAGGGCCTCAAATCTCCCGAACCTGCTCTTCTGCTCCCCGACATTCTGCCTCTTGCTGACCCCTTCGGTTGCGCCTCTGACGCCGTGAATGGTAACCACCCCAAGGCCTTCCTGGGGGTCTTCTCTCCTGCATGCCCAGCCCTCCCCAGCTGCCTTCAGTTTGCAACCAGGCCCTCTTTGGACCCTCTGAAATGAGAAAGTATAGCAAGAGAGGACTTCATTGTGAACCCATTCCGGGGGAAATCTCAGAGGAAGGTGGGCTTGGGATTCAGGAAGATTTGTTGTGCATCTCACTGTGGGAGAAAAAGCCTTAATCCTGACTCTCCTGCCACGGCGTAAACTGTCTAGAGCAGTGGTTCTCAACCTGGGGTCCCCAGATGTTTTTGGCCTACAACTCCCAGAAATCCCAGCCAGTTTACCACCTGTTAGGATTTCTGGGAGTTGAAGGCCAAAAACATCTGGAGACCCCAGGTTGAGAACCACTGCTCTAGAGGCAGAGAAGAGCCTCGTGGCGCTCCCTTCTCAAAACAAAGGGGAATAAAGCACACTAAAGACTGCTGGGAAGAAGTGGGAAGTGTCTGTCTGTCTGTCTGTCTGTCTCTCTTTCTTTTCCCCCACCCCTTCCTTCCTTGCTTTTCCTTCCTTCCTTTTTCCTTCCTTCTTCCCTTCTCTTCCTTCCTAACCCCGCCTTCCTTTCTTCTCTCTTCTCTGTCTTTCTTTCCCTCCCTCTTACCTCATTCCTTCTTCTTCCTCCCTGTTTCCCTCTCCTTCTCCACCTCCACTTTCTCCATCTTCTCCTTCTACTCCATCTCCATCTTCTCTTTCTCCATCTTCTTCTTTTCTTTCTCCATCTTCACTTTCTCCATATCCACCTTCTCCACCTACTCCATCTCCATATTCCTGTTCTCCTTCTCCATCTTCACCATCTCCACCTGCTTCTTCATCTCCACTTCCTCCATCTTCACTTTCTCCATCTCCACCTTCTCCTTCTCTTTCTCCATCTCCTCCTTCTCCTCTTTCTCCACCATCTCCATCTTCATCTTCTTCTTCACTTTCTCCATCTCCACCTTCTCCATCTCCATCTTCTCCATCTCCATATTCCCGTTCTTCTTCTCCATCTTCATCACCTCCATCTGCTTCTTTATATCCACCTCCTCTATCTTCACTTTCTCCATCTTCACCTACTCCATCTCCTTCTCTTTCTCCATCTCCACCTTCTCCATCATCACTTTCTCCGTCTCCATCTTTTCCTCATAGAATCCTAGAACTGGAAGAGACCTCATGGGCCATCCAGTCCAACCCCATTCTGGCAAGAAGCAAGAAAATTGCATTCAAAGCACCCTCAATAGATGGCCATCCGCCTCCGTTTCAAAGCCTCCATAGAAGGAGCCTCCACTTCGGGACAGAGAGTTCCACTGCTGAATAGCTCTCACTATTAGGAAGTTCTTTTTCATGTTCAGATGGAATCTCCTTTCCTGTAGTTTGAGGCCATTGTTCTGCATCCCAGAGCAGCAGAAAAGAAGCCTACTCCCTCCTTTCCCTCACCTCTTGATCCATGGACCTCATCATGTCTCCTCTCAGCCTTTTCTTCTGCATTCTAAACATGCCCAGCTCTTTCAGCCGCTCTGTCCTCATGGGGCTTGTTCTCCAGACCCTTGATCCTTTGAGTTTCTCTCTTCCTCTGGACACATTCCAGCTTAGGGTCAAAATCTCCCTTCAGTTGCAGTGCCCAGAATGGGACAGTGTGGTTCCAGGTAATGTGATCTGACCAAGGCAGAATAGAATAGAGGGAGAGTAGGACTTCCCTGGGTCTAGGCGCGGGACTCCTCTTGATGCAGGCCAAAATCCTATTGACTTTTTTTGCTGCTGCATAACATTCCCGGCTCCTGTTCCCTTTCCGCCCCACGAGGACTCCAAGATCTTTTTCCCATGTCCTGCCATCGAGCCAGGCATCGTCCCCCATTCTGTCTCTTTGCATTTCATTTTTTCTGCCTAAGTGGAGGACCTTGCATTTGTCCCTGTTGAACTTCATTTTGTTAGTTTTGGCCCATCATCTCTCTCATCTGTTAAAATCGTTTTGAATTTGGCTCCTGTCTTTTGGAGTTGGAGTGTTGGCTCTCCTTCCTCATTTGGTGTCTGCCATGCCTTCTAGCCCTTCATCTCAGTCATTAACAAAGAACTGGGCTCAGGATGAAACCCTCCTCCATCTTCTCCTTCTCTTTCTCCAGTTCCATCTCCAACTTCTCCATGCCCATCTCCTTCTCCATCTCCACCTCCTTTTCCATCTTTATCTTTTCCATCTCCACCTTCTCCATATCCACCCTCTCCATCCTTCCTCTCCTCTCTCTTTTCCTCTCTTTTCTTCTTCCTTCCTTCCTTTTCCTGCTCCTAACTGTTGGCTTCTGCTCTCTCCTCTTTTGCCTCTGGAAAGGAAAAGCCGACCTGGCGGGGGCCGCAGAAAGCCTCATCCCGGGCCTGGAGGCCCCCAGCGGCCAGCAGCGCGTCTCCTCCTCGCAGACCGACTCTGTGGCTTCCAACAGAGCAGGTGGGTGGGAGGAGAAAAGGGGGCTCCAAAGGGCAGCTGTGCCCATGGTTCACTTGGAGGGTGGGTGAGTGGATGAGTAAGGGATCCTCTCCTGTCTGCTTGCTTTGTGCTTTCGCTTCTTCTTTCGGCCCCCATGTCCTTCGGGGAGACGCCCCCAACCTCATCACATAAACAGGAAGCCATGGATAAAACCCAACCTTTTGAATCCTGTGATCACCCTAGACAGGTTTTAATAATCAAATCCACAAAAGTTTATGGCCCGATCATACATGCATTTCATGCACTTATGGCCTGCACTCCTTTTTGGTTTTCACATGCAAATGTTTCTGCAGCAGTATTCCCCCCAGAGCCCTTTCGGTTAACACTATGTATCACAGTTTTTGTTCCTGGGTTATAAATGCCATTTTCTAATTGGTTCAATAATAATAGTAGTAGTAAATTTATTACAATCAACAAATCAGATAAAATACAAACAAGTAGAACTGAACAAATATTATTAATTACAAAACTATATAAAATAGATATTATTAAATGCAGGTACATTTTCCTTAAGTTTATGTCTTTTTTGGCGACAAGCGAGTGCTGCAGCATAAAATCAGACCACTTTAATTGTTACCGTTGGATTCTGATCTGCTAGCAAGCCGTGTATGTAAAACGCCTCAGGTCTGATCTATCATAAAAGTATGGTAAAAAGTTTATTAAACTGCAAAAATTTTGCTTTTTGCGGGAAGGAGACCCTTCAGTACACTTTGTTCTAGTTTCTCATCATCGAGTCTCAGCCAATTCAACATCTGGGTTCCTGTGAGTTTTTTGGGCTGTATGGCCATGTTCCAGAAGCACATGACCATACAGCCCAGAAAACTCACAGCAACCCAGTGATTCCAGCCATGAAAGCCTTCGACAACACAATTCAACATCGTTTGTGGCCACAAAAACAAAGTTTCTGGAGTAGAACAACTGGTTTTGGAGTCAGGACCACACAATTAAACAGGAAATAACACTTTCGAACCAGGAATAGAACATATTTCAAATTTTGTTGCATAGTGCTATTTAAAAGAAGAGTGGGGAGGTTGGCCGCTAGCCATTTTTATGATCAGTGATGAGGAATGGCAGAAAAAAAGAACACGGCTGAGATAAATGACACTGACTAGGACTATTAGGTGGAGATGGGAATTTTTAAAATATCAATATACGTGAGATATGAACAGGGAAATTTGATGGAATAACACCTTTTTCATTTTTGTTAACCTGGGTAGAGTCTGGAAGCAATTAAATAAATGGAGTTGTATACAAGAAGATAACGTTGCAGATTTTGTTTTGTAGTGTAATCACATCCACAGAAGTTAAACTGTTGTATCCCAGAGCAGTCCAATAATATTATCAAACAGTTTATTGAAGAATATATAAAAGCAAAGCAATAAAAATGGTAAAAACAATATAGTCCAAAGATGTGAAATAGTCCATTAACTTCAAGGTATAAAGGTAGAATACAAAATCCAAGGATGCAAAATCTGGATAAAAAAGGCAGCATAAATATCCAATACACAGAACTCCAGAATAATTATTTAGACTTGGAAATGGGAACTTAGCTGACTTGAAACATGAAACTAGAAATTCCCTTGACAAAAGTTTGATGCAAGATGTTCTTTGAAACACCAACATTGCCCAGACTGATCTAAAACCTTTTCCACATCTCATATAAAGCTTTTCCTGTCTCATAAACTGTCAAGAAATCATTTTGTTTACCTTTACAACTAGATAAGGGTCTCTTCGCTAATAGGCGCAATGATCTTCAGTGAGCTTGGGAATTTGCTCTAAGTTTATAGAAGATTGGTCTTCTATCTCCTGGCTCATTAACCTCTTCACCTAACAATTCACCTTCAGAAGCCAGTTCCCCAGAGAAAGGCTGCTCTGAGCCCCCTTCAGGAATGTGGCCTTCAGACTCTGCAAGAGAAACACAATGTTAATTTTCAAGACTTGAAACCTCAGGCCTTTCAACAAGGCTAGGACTTGAAATCTCAGGCCCAGCAAAACCATCATCCCCAGTGACATCAGACACAATCATTGGCTGAACTAAAACATAAACCCACAAATGCGAAGGGCCGACTGTACATAGAGTTCATTCATTTATGGACCTCCTCTGAGTTTTCATCTTGTAGCCCAGGCATGGGCAAACCCAGGTCCATGGGCTCTTTGTGGTCTTGTCTCCGGACCAGGCCTGGCCCCCAGCTGGGTGGCATAACCCCCAAAACGCACATCGCTGCGCAGAGCTCTCCAGAGAGCTGTGCTCAGTCATGTGTAAGCCCTCCTCTGTGCAGGAGGATGACTGGGCCACTATCTCCTCCTGCAAAGAGCAGTGCCTTCACATGCAGCTGTGCAGGGCTCTCCCAAGGCTCACCTTCACGGGAGGACATGTCGGACAGGAGCACCCTGCAGGTACACACAGCTGTGCTGGGCTCTTCTAAGAGCCTCTCACAACCACGTGTAAGCTCCCCTTTCCAGGAGGACATGGCAGGCCACCACCTCCTCCCACAGAAAGGATCACCCTGCAGGTACATGCACCAACTCTCTCCCCCCCCCCCCCCCCCCCCCCCCCCCCCCCCCCCCCCCCCCCCAGCCCAGCATGCGGTCCCTTTTCTGAAAAGTTTGCCCATACCTGTTGTATCCTCACTTGGTTATGGCGGTTATGTGTGCCAAGTCTGCCCTGGTCCTTCACTCGTGGGGGTCGCAGTGGCCTGTGGAAGTGGGAGGCAGTCAGAAAGCTGCCACATACCCACATCTCCATATACATACAACAACGTAAAATTTAAAACAAGTTAAAATCATAAATATTAGCCAATTCTGTAATTAAAACCCCAATAAAATATATTAAGAAACCCCTGATAATATGTAACTAAGTCGAAGGGCCTTCCTAACATCTCACCTGCAGTGTTTCTGCAGCAAAATCCACCCTCCCCTGGGCCAACTGTACATACATTTCATGCGTTTATGGACCTCCTCTCCTTATTTTTGAGTTTTTATCTTACAGCCTCACTTGAAATGTTCCTGTAGCAAATCCCCCTGCCCTCAAGAGCCCTGTTCAGTTAATCGAAGGTCAATGTCTCCTAGTCCCCAAACATCAAACACGCAAAGGTTGGAGCTGTTTGTCATTCAGAGCCCTCTCCTTCCCTGCCTGCAACATGGGGCTCTTTTCTAATGCTGCCTTGGTTTCCCCTTTGTGTTGTGTTTTGGGTGGTCCAAGGGCTTCCTTGACCACCCAAGGGTCCTGCTGACCTGCAATTCTTCTTCTCTGTACTGTTTCTTGGGCCTGTCGCTTTCTCCCTGGTGGTGACCAGACTCTCTGACCGGAGAGGACTCCCTCCTGGACTGCTCTCTGCTCTCCAACCCAGCTACCGACCTCCTGGAGGAGTTTGCGCCTTTGGCCCTGCCGCCCCAGGCTCACAAAGGTACGGCAACGGCCCTTGGGGTTCGCTCTGTGGGTTGGTTGGTTAGTTGGTTAGAAGTATGGAAAGGAGAGACTGGAAACAGAGACAATTGAGACCGAGAGAAAATGCTCAAGGGGAAGGGTGCGTTGGCGAGGGAGGTCGCTAGGCTTGGTAAGAATTGACCTACAAAGGGATCTTGCAGCATCTCAGACACAAAGTTGATTTGACACACCCTTTTGTAGACTTAAGGGTGTATCTACACCACAGACTTGATGCAGTTTGACGTTGTGTTAATTGCCGTGAATCATCTTCTTCTCCACCTTCTCCTTTTCCATCTCTACCTGGGAGCCTGAGAGTTGCTGCCAATAATAATAATAATAACAATAATAATGGGAAGTGTTCGACTTGTGATTTTTGATACGCAATCCAGCATAGAGATCTCGTTTACTGTGACATACTGTGATTTTGTGTCAGTAAAATAATAATAATAATAATAATAATAATAATAATAATGATAATGATAATAATAATAACAACACACCAGATATAATGGTGGTGGAAAAGAAACATGTTTTCATTATCGGCCAATGGTTCCCTACCTTCTTTTTTTTTTTACACATAATAAATAAATTCATCATCATTGTCATCATCACCATCATCTAATGATTCCTCTAATATCCCAGGCCCTTGAGAAGAGCCTAATATTCAGAGATGAAGCCCAGACGCTTGGACCTAATGTGCATGTGTACATTGTACATGTAATAATAATAATAATAATAATTAATAATGATGTGTATATGTACATGTAATGATAATAATAGTGTTGTTATGTACACAAAATAAATTTATCATCATCATTTAATGATACTTCTAATATCCCAGGCCCTTTGAGAGAACCCGATTTTCAGAGATGAATCCCAGACCCTTGGACCTCATGTGCATATGTGCTGTGTTGTTACGTACATGTAATAATAATAGCAACTACAAAAACAACAACAATAACAATAATAATTGAGCCATGGTGCTTAATTAGTGGTGCCAAACTGCATTCATTCTCCAATGTAGATGCACCCTAAGCCTACTTCCTCCGCAGCCTTGATAGGCAGACTGTGTGTGCAAATAGCCACCAAATTGCAAAGGTCTCCAAACAGAAAGTTTTAAAAAAGGATTAATAACGTTGTGTTGTTTTGGTTGGACTGTTTTTCAAACCTTTTGTCTTCTGAAAAAAACAACATGGTATTATCTTAATTCTATCTCAATAATTACTTTGTGTGTGTGTTTTAATTATATTGTTGTTTTGAATTTTGACACACTTTTGGAGACTAGTGGGATATAATTACCGGTAAATAATAATTGCCATCACGAAGTAATTGTTATAAGCCTGCTTGAACCCCAGGGCTGGGATGTCAATCATCATCTTCATCTTCATCCACATCCTTGCAATCTACGAGAGTTTTGGACCATCATGATTAGGAGTCTGTTCAATTATCTATTATTCTTATGGTCACTATGGTTATGGCTACATGGAAAATGTTTCCTACAGTCGTGGCATAGGGAATCTGGTCAGTCTGAACGTGAAAGGAACCATCCTTTCATGTTACTGAGAACCCAAAATAGGTTCTTAGTCTTGGATAGCAGCTCTAAGGTTTTCAATAGGAGTGGATTCAGTGCTCAACTGGCCACAAAATCACCAGCCAAATCGAGCAGAAGTCCGCTCTTCTGTGCAAAGATTTGTCTTGAATGACCAGAAAATCCATCCTATGTTCTCCTTACAAAGGCCTTTGGAGCAAGCTGTGGTTTGCCCATCTCATCCGCCAAATCAAGACAAAAATGGTTGACCTGTTTTTGCAAAAACGGCGCCTCTTGACCGATGCGGCAACCGTCTTATTCTCCCCTTTCTCTTGCACTTTTCAAATGGCCTGGGCACAAAAGACCCAGTCTTCAGCATCAGGTCTCCATGAATCAGTAAAATATTGTTTGCATTTTCATAAAGCTCCAATTTGCTTAGCCAAACGAAAGCATCAAAGGGAGCCTGGGTTAGTTTTTTCCTCTTGTGTGGGATGAACCTCTGTATCCATAAAAGTGACATTGCAGGACTTTGCGTAGACATGTGAATATGAATATCTGGCCTCTATAGTGTGCTGAGTGCAGTGTAGCCAGGGCTCTGTATGAGTTTATGGGAAGAAATAGCAGGGAAAAGATGCAGGATTGATGCTCTGGTGAGATGGAAAAGAAGGTAAAAGCTCATTTTTATTGTTCCTCCTCCTTGTCTTGCCTTTTTCCCTTATTGGGAATGTGGGCATCGGATAAGAGCGTCGGATAAGACAAAATGTTGGATAAGCGAAGGTTGGATAAGCGAGACTCTATGTAATAATACCTCTATACAACATCTATATACAATAATACCTCTATATAATATTTATATCTCTATAGAAATAGTGATGCTTCCTCCAACATATCTAACATACAGTTTCCGCACAGGCGTGGTATAGAACCGTCACTCACTTCTCAACTCTGTGTTTATTTTTTCTTTGCAGTCCCTCTCCAAATGTTTGCTGTTTTGAGAAGGACTACAGAGCAAAATATATAGAGGCTGTTTGGGTTTGCTGTAGGGGAAAGGCTGCTTATAAGGGAATAGATTGGCCCCGGTCGTCCATGACGTTGTTCAGCTGTTGTTTCCCTATGTGGGTGGGCGCCTTAAGAGGATAGGAAATGCCTGTTGCATCTTTCCTCCTTGACCCTCAGTAGCAGAAAGATGACCATTTGTCCTCTGGGCAAATTGCACAGTTGTTTCCGCAGACAACAATTTGGAAGCCACTTCTTTCCTCTCATAAGGAGAGGCACTAACCAACCGCTGCACCCCTGGGCCGCTTTCTCTCTGTCCTGTTGCTTCTTTGGCCCCTTTGACGCCTTGTTTATGATTTTGTATTCATATCCTGCTTTCTTCTCCTGCCTTCCTTTTTGCTCTTTAACCCCCCCCCCCCCCCACCTTCCGTCTAACATGCCTCCGATGATTTCTAACCGGCTTTTCTCTGTTCTATCTTTTTGCTCCTTTTGTTGTTTTCCACTTGGGTTCTCCCTCCTCCCCTCCCTCCCTCCCTCGCTCCCTCAACGCTGCAGAAGATACTAACCTGATCTCGGGCTTTGATGTCCCGGAGGGCTCTGAGAAAGTGGCCGAAGATGAGTTTGACCCCATCCCTGTGTTGATATCCAAAAATGCACAAGGTAAGCAGGGCAAGGAGGCAGCCATCCTCCATCTGCCTTTCTGTCCCAAATCCCAAACCAGCGGAGATCTCTGCGCTGCATGCAAGGCTCTATATCCTCCAGCTTCCTGAGTTTTGGCAACACTCAAATCACCCTCCCCTGTCCTATCTTTTTCTGAGAAGTTACTTTGAAGAAGCAATCATTTCCTAAATTTGACTGAGAGTTTTACTGCTCCAAATCCCCTTGAAAGTGCAAACATTGCCTCTCAAACTACATCCTAGGTTCTTTTATACTTCAGAAGGTCCTCAAGAGCTATAACCAATAACCAGGGTGTCATGGATTGGCTTGGTGTTTGATGGAATGCCAGACCATCTCTGTGCCATGACAGGGCCAGAGGAAAGAATGTCAATATTCTTCTCTGCAACGCCTGTTATCCGGATGACATCTTTATTTATTCAAGATCAATACAGGGACATGAAACCCTGGTAAAACAAGTGCAGGAGAAGTTGAGAACGGCCTCAATGGGATGCCAAGCTTTCAAAAGTGTGAGTTCTGCAAATCTGAATGGGATAAAAGGCCCAAGAGTAGGAGGAAATTGCAGAGTTTCTTGGGATTTGTAGATTTTTGCAGACAGTTCATCAAAGGCTTGGCTTCAATTGCCTTTCCTTTTACTGACCTAAAAAGTAAGGGTCAAGGGCAAACAAGCAGGGTAAAAAAAAATCCAGCAGCTAGGTTGAATTGGACTCCAAAATGTCCTCATGCCTCTGATCAGCTCAAGACTTTGGTCACCTGATTCTGGCTCAGTCATGGCATGGAGACGGTCTGGGATTCCATCAAACTCCAGGGTATTTCTCTTGTAGTACAAGACTTATATCTCTATGTTTCTCACATACAGAACCCTAAAGGCGTTGGAAATGATCCTCTGCCATCCCTAGCTCCATCCCATAAAGCCCCCTTGGCAATCTTTCTCCAAATAGCGTGGCATCCCTCCCTTTCATTGAGAGAAGAGGCCACTTTAAATCCATGAGGATGCTCTTCTTCTTCTTCTTCTTCTTCTTATTATTATTATTATTATTATTACGTTTGTTTATGCCCCACTTTTTCTCTCTTTGGTTCATTTAAAGAAAACCCTTAAGTTTATTCTAAAGGGCAGGAGGACCAGCCAACCTTCTTGGGACAGAAGAGGCTGTAGATTTTATTTATTTATTTATTTATTTATTTGCGGCATTTATATGCCGCCCTTCTCACCCCGAAGGGGACTCAGAGCGGCTTACAAGGTATATATACATACAATACCCTATACTATTAGCATAGTACAATATCAGCATTAAACACTGCTATATTGTACTATACTAATTATACTGTAATATTATTAGTAATATTACATGTAATATAAATATATAATTACAATATCATTTTATTAGTATTATATTGCATTACATTATAATATCATAAATATTAAATGTATATACAATATATTATTATATTTTATTTTATTATATTATATTATATTATATTATATTATATTATATTATATTATACTATATTATTAGAATAGCACAGGAGACAAGATGGAACTGTTCCCTGGCCTCCCCTCTTTTCTCTCTGGTCCAGAGCAGCAGTTGGTGCTGGGGGGAGGGGTCTCCAGCTGATGGCATATGCGGGAGACAAGATGGAACTAACTAAACTACTTATTTATCAATCAGTCAAACTCAATCAGACTTTATTTATATCCTACCCCATCTGTTTAATCCCAACTTTTTTTAACTAGGACTACTTGACCAGGGACCACTTTCCAAATAAAAAGGTTATGAATCAGCTTTTGGTCTGATTAAGAAAATTGCATTGGATAGACCACATCAGCTCTAGTTTCCAATACAGAACATATGCCATCCAGTAGTCGCCCTCTGCTCACCCACAGAAAACCATATGTAATCTTCAGCTGATGTGATAGTAGTAATCTTTCGTGGGTAGTCAGCCTGTCCCCTCCTAACATCCCTGTTGGCTCAGCACTATAAGAGGGTTTTGTGAGACAAGTTGCTACCATTGCCGCGTGGTTTTGAGGCAACGGAGTAGTAATGGTGAGGCTGCTAGGCATGTGCAATCCGTGCTTATGGTTCTAAAGCACTTACAAAATTAAAACTCTGGTGGTGAAAACTAGGGGGCTCTGGTGCTTTGCTTCTATAGTGTTGCTAAAGTTCTGGTGGTGAAAATTTCAGAACTCTAACAAAACTTTCAATATTTCACTATTATTTCATTATTGATGATTTTTATGACAGAACCAATTAGTAACTGCCATTTATAATGAAAATTTGAAAATTTTGTTAGAGTTCTGAAATTTTGACTACCATAACTTTACTTAGGCGATCCCTCGTTTTCCGAGGAGGATTGTCTTCCAGTATTCTTGTGGGTCCGTATGTGGCTGTGGAGCCCTATTCTTGCTCTGCATCTTCTTCCACAGTGAGGGCATTGGTTTCCAGGTGGAAGGCGGTCTCGGTCGGGGTTGGCTTGACGCGCCTTACTCTTGGCACGCTTCTCCCTTTCGCCCTCCATAACTTTAGCAACACTGTAGAAGCAAAGCACCAGTGCCTCCTAGTTTTCACGATCAGAAATTTAGTTTTGTAAGTACTTTAGAACCATTTAGAACCATGGATTGCACATGCCTAGAGGCTGCAGACCATATTTTCATTCTTGTGGACCACAAGTTGGGAACCACTGATTTAGGCCCATTTAGCTGGGCCTAAATATACACTAAAAAGGCCTGGATCCCAGCCACTTGAGCCTGGAAACTAAGCAAGCTCAGCTCTGGTTAGGATTTGGATGGGAGACCGTCAGTGGATACCCATCACTCTCGACTCTTATTTCAGAGGAAGGGGAACAGACAGAGTTTCCAAACTGGAGAAAACCCTACAAAATCCATAGGCTCCCCATTTAACGTTTGAGCTACTGATCACATCTTTAGAGATCCCACATAAATTCTGGAATGTGTTTTTTTCTCTCTCTCTCTCCCTAGTATTTTATTTATTTCTACTCTTCCCTTTTTTTTTTGGCTTGTTTGTGGAACACGTGGCCTTTTTCCTATTTAATTCCTTCTTTGTTTTTGAACCCGTTCCTTTCTTTCTTCCTTTGTTTATTTTTGTCTTGACGAAAAAGCTAACCTTTCTTTCCTTCCTGGTGCCTGAATACTGAACTGCTGTCTCTCGCACTTCCAGGTGGTCATTCTAGAAACAGCAGCGGAAGCTCAGAGTCCAGCCTCCCCAACCTCGCCAGGTCCCTCCTGCTAGTGGATCAACTCATAGACCTGTAGCAGAGGTCTTGTGCTTCACGGGAGGAATATACATATATATATATACATAGATAATAGATATATATTCCTTTATTTTATTTTTTTCTCTGGTTGACTTTCCGTCCCTCCTTTCCTTGCCCCCTCCGTGGACCAGCCTTTGCGTTCCCAAATGGCTTTTGTGTTTTTCCGGGTCGTTCTCTTTTTGGTTTCAATTGGGGGAGGAGGCTTTCCCCTTTAGCACATTCTCCCCAAAAACAGCTATTACAAATCCTGATCTCTCCATTCTCTTCAAAGGAAGCAACCGGCCGTTTAACCACGTCGCTGGGGGCTTCCTTCCTTGCCAAAAAAAATTACAATTCCTTGCTAGAAAATGCCGGCGACGAGCAATGCCCCCCTTGCTTTGCATTAGGCTATAGATCGCTAAACAAACGATACTCGTCCTTTTATTGCCCTGATCCAAAAAAGGATAATGAAAAATAGTTAGCCTTGACCCTCTCTCTCTGATGCCAAATTGGAGGGGAAAGCGGTCATATCGAAGGCCAAAACGGGGCCTTAAGACCACTGAATAACACAGAAAAGGTCTTTTAAAAGCTTCGCTTCCTCTTCCGCTTAGGAATGGACTGTGCTTTGAAATATATAGATATATAAGAATACTAATAATTTAACAAAAGATGCCATTAAAGCTCTGGAAACTATCCCATGCAGAAACACACCCTAAGAGAAGCATGGCTCATGTCCCTTTTCGATGTCGAGTGAACTCGTTTGTTTCGGGGGCCAAGCACCAAACACCGCCGATCCTTGATTTTTTTATTTTTCTGCAAATTGTATGTACATTTCCGGGTTCTTTGTGTTCCTTCCTTCCCTCTGAGCCAGGTGAGGTTGTTTGGGGCCTGTGTGTCTGTTCCTTTTTCTTTTCTTTTGCAATATATATATATATATATATACATCGTCCAGGTAATCGGAGCCATTTCCCTGACCTTCGCTGTAGACCATTTTGAAATGGGGGAAAAAAAGGACTGTCGCTTCCCTTGAGCATCTTTTGTCGCATGCGCTCCTTTGTCAGCCGGTGGCCAAGTGCTTTCCCCAGCTTCGGTGTTTTCCCCGAAACGGGTTTATGGAACTTCCCATGCGCTCCGTTTCGTCAAAATAATAATACTGGATATATAGTAAACTTGTTTCCCATTGGCTTCTTCTTCTTCTCCGTCTTCTTCTTCTTGGAGTCCAAAGCTTTTCCAACAGGAAGAGCCTCTCGTTATAACTCCGTAGTGGGATAACTGTTCGCTTATGGGCTACCTTTGTGGATGTGGATGTAGCTGTATTAGGATATTTTGTTATTTTTGGATTATTTTAAATTTTCATTTTAAAAAGGTGCAGTTGTTTATTCTCAAAAGTATGAATGGCTAAGATTTTAATCGTTGTCCCTCCTAATGGAATACATAAAGGGAAAAGGCTCCGAGGAGGAGTCTTTCCCGATCCATTGAATCATATGAGGATGGGTCAAAAAGTTTTGCCTCCTGGGTCCTAAAAATGTTATAAATGAACCTATAACAGCAGAAGTTGCTCCAGATCGGGGCCAGGCTTTAGCACAGCTGGTAAATCACCAGCAATAATAATAAATAATAATAAACTTTATTTATACCCCACCACCATCTCCCCAACGGGGACTCGGAGCGGCTTACATGGGGCCAGGCCCGAACAACAAACTACAATATAAAACACAAAATGTAAACCATCAAAACATATAAAACAATATACACAGAACATAGAAACCAAACATGTAAATAAAATGATTTAATAACTCTGGCAGTGATAAAATCTACCATCTGAAAGGTTACCAGTTCGAAGCCCTGGGTTGGCGTGAGCTCCTGGCTGTCAACCCAGCTGACAGTAGTTTACCTAAGCCAGGGGTCCTCAAACTAAGGCCCGCGGGCCGGATACGGCCCTCCAAGATCATTTACCCGGCCCTTGCTCAGGGTCAACCTAAGTCTGAAATGACTTGAAAGCACACAACAACAACCCTATCTCATCAGCCAAAAGCAGGCCTACACTTCCCATTGAAATACTAATAAGTTTATATTTGATAAAATTGTTCATTTTAATTGTTGTATTGTTTTAAGTGTTTTTTGCACTACAAATAAGTTGTGTGCAGTGTGCATAGGAATTCATTCATGTTTTTTTTTTTCAAATTATAATCTGGCCCTTCAACAGTTTGAGGAACTGTGACCTGGCCCTCTGTTTAAAAAGTTTGGGGACCCCTGACCTAAGCTAACGAACAATAGTTTACCTAAGCAGTTTGAAAACAGCTTAGAGCTGTAAGTAGAGAAATTGGGTACTGCTAAACATGCGGGGGAGGTATTTTATGACACCATAAAGAAAAAGGTCAGATAATGCCCAGAGACCAAAAGGAAGGAGGAAGTCCTGATGGCTCTTTATCATAGAGGATGAAACAACAGCACCCCCCTGTGGCTGGATTCAAGCACAACCTCCAAGGCGCTAAAAAGCTGGACGTCAGCAAAACAAACCGCCTTTCTGTTCTGTTCTGTCTGTCTCTGTCCTGTCTATCCAAAACGGCATTGAATGTTTGCCACATATGTGTACTGTGATACGCGCTGAGTCCCCTTGGGGAGATAGGGCGGAATATAAATCAAGTGTTATCATATTATTATTATTATTGCCTGAACGGTCCTCTACCAAAACAACTGGTCAGCACAGTCACCATCAATTTGGACGCATTTGCACCATTGTTTAACCTGGGCATCCAAACCATTTTGGAAAAATGCAGGGTTTAACTTTGTGAGCCATAACTTTAAAGCTGTTTGAACATCATTCAAGCCATTGAATCTGAAACCACGTCGGTTGTCTCTCAGAGGTCCAAACATGTAAAAATTAGAAGGGGCCAAATCATAAACATTCTTCAAGCGATGATGGATTTCCTGAGGTGCATATTAACCTTTTGGGCCAGAAATCCAATGACGACTCTTTCTTTTGACTTCCGATTCATGGTTCTAATCAGTCAAGTTTAGAACCATGAAGGTTGCCTCTATCCCAGGCATGGGCAAACTTGAGCCTTCCAAGTGTTTTGGACTTCAACTCCCACAATTCCTAACAGCCTCAGGCGGGGGGAGGGGGGAGGAAGGGGTCTGAGGCTGTTAGGAATTGTGGGAGTTGAAGTCCAAAACACCCGGAGGGCCAAAGTTTGCTTATGCCTGCTCTATCCTCTCATGCATAGATAGTTCAGTAGCTGGAAAAGAAAGGTTAGAACGACGGAGGCATTACCTTTTCACCCACCCTCATATAATCCCCCCCCCTCTCTCGTTTCCCTTTCGGAAATTAGCTTAACCAATTCTGTAAATAGGATTTGATCCGTCCGTTTGTTCTTAACAGTCTTCATGATGGGAAAAAAAATGGGAAAGTATCGCTTCCGTGTGACGTGTCCATTTTGCGTGCTGCACTTTTCCCCCCTCCCGATGATGATGATGATGATGATGAGAAAAATAATAATTATGGAAGTGATCTTAGCGAAAAATTGTGGATAGATTCTTTATATTTTTGGGGGCTTCTAGGGTGGGATTTTGGGGGTGAAATCGGACTTGATTTTTTTGGGGGGGAGGGGGATATTCCTCTAAAGCACAGGCCGCTGGTGCTGGGTGAAGGCGGGCGAAGCTTTAGATAGAACGTTATTGTATAGTCAGATGCCGAAGAAGAAAAAAATATATGGAAAATGAAATGAAATAAAATAAAAAAGAATGGATTTTTTTAAACAAAGTGCACCATCTGCTGTATATTAAGAACCAAAAAAAGGACATTCAGTGAATTAAAAGTACTTTTCCAAAAGTTTGATTGAACTTGTTGAAGAGTTCGGAGTGCAGAAGTGAATGGAGGATGCCAACTGAAATAGAACTGAATGGTATTATTTTTTTGTTTGGGGCCGGGGGGAATTATTTCTTTTTTTTCCAGAAACGATTCATGCAAAGATAATCCGTTTGGGGGGGGGGGGGGGGCTGAAACCATTTATCCTGTACCAAGGTTGATGGATTGGACCCAAGCGTCATTGAAGTGACATGTAGCAGATTCTTGAATAAACAGAGCAAAAACTGAACCTTAGTTGGGAATGAGTAATATTTGTAGCTCCATGTGAGAGGTTTAAATATTGTTCCGCCTTGGTATATTATTTTACTGTAAATGAGTGTTGTTTATTGTTGTTGTTGTTGTATGGCAAAGGGGGCGTCAGAATCTGGAAGCTCTTGGAACAAAAAGCAAGTTCACAAAGAACAATATTTGGAAACAGGATTATTCCGTCTTACCATTGTTAGGGGAAACTACCCTAAATATATAACAGAGCATCCAAAAACATAAATAGGATACAAACGTTGAGCATTAGCGAGCAGAGCATGAAGTGCCGTGAGATGTGGCTGTAAAGAATTCAGAGCTTAGGAGGCAAACATGCAGAGTCCAATCTTAAAAAATCACAAAAGGGTTATTTACAATAATAAGAAAGAACTTCATTTCTTAATAGTAAAGAACTGGGTCTGAGCTACTCTAACACCCATCTCTTCTAGAGTTTCAAGAGAGGGAAAAAACCAATCACTCCACCTCTCCTGACACAAGCAGAGAGAGATCTCAAAGCACACAGCACATACTCTCCATACTAAACTGTAAGAAGGCAGAAGGCAGGTTCAAAAAGCTTGCAGTAGAAAGGTATCAATTTTAAACAATCAGAATGAGAACAAAAACAGAGAGGAGAGAACAAAATAGATACATACATTCCCAATTGTCATACAGGAGACAGGGGGAAAGGGAAACCCTTAGTCTAGACCAGGGTTCCTCAAACTTTTTAAACAGAGGGCCAAGTCACAGTCCCTCAAACTGTTGGAGGATTGGATTATAATTTGAAAAAAAAACATGAATAAATTCCTATGCACACTGCACATATCTTATTTGTAGTTTAAAAAAAACCCACTTAAAAACAATACAATAATTAAAATGAAGAACAATGTTAACAAACATAAACTTATTGGTATTTCAATGGGCCTGCTTTTGGCTGATGAGGTAGGATTGTTGCTGTTGTATTCTCAAACTACAAGAGAGGAGATTCCATCTGAACATGAGGAAGAACTTCCTGACTGTGAGAGCCGTTCAGCAGTGGAACTCTCTGCCCCGGAGTGTGGTGGAGGCTCCTTCTTTGGAAGCTTTTAAACAGAGGCTGGATGGCCATCAGTCAGGGGTGATTTGAATGCAATATTCCTGCTTCTTGGCAGGGGGTTGGACTGGATGGCCCATGAGGTCTCTTCCAACTCTTTGATTCTATGATTCTATGATTCTATGCTTTCAAGTTGTTTCAGACTTAGGTTGATCCTGAGCAAAGGCTGGGTCAATGACTTTGGAGGGCCATATCCGGCCCTCGGGCCTTAGTTTGAGGACCCCCTGGTCTAGACCAATGGTTCCCAACCTTTTTTTTTATTTAACCAGGGACCACTTTGACCAGTGACCACTCTCCACCATTAGTACCAAAAAGGTTTATGAATCAGTTTTTGGCCAACTTTTGATTTGTGGTAATTTGGGGTGCTGATTCAGAAAATTGCATTGGATAGACCACATCAGCTCTGCTTTCTGATGCAGAACATATGTCATCCAGTAGTTGCCATCTGCTCGCCCACAGAAAATCATATTTAATCATCTAGAGCTGATGTACTCTATCCAAATGTTTGGGGCTGGTCAGCGACAGGGAAGGAGTGGCAGGCAGTGCGAAAGGAGCAGCAATAAAATGAAAAAAAAAATTATTTTAAATTTTTATATCCCGATCTTCTCTACCTCCACGGAGGGACTCAGACCAGCAAACAGCAAGGATTCAATGCCACAATACAGTCTAAAACATCATACAACAATAGATTAAAATACATATAAAATAAAATACATATAAGCCAGTTTGCCAAGAAAAAATCATGTCCAACTCATTCCACATATGTCAATAACTTTAGTCTAACAAGGAAGGAGGCTCGTAGATCTTTGTTGTTGCGGCCCACTGGTGGTCCGCAGCCCACAGGGTAAGAACCACTGGTCTATACTAAGCTTGAGGACTTGAGACTTGGGCAGTGTGGGGTTGAATTCCAACAACCACCATAGTAAGAAAGACAGTTCTAAAGTTTCCTCATGCACATTGTTCCCCATCCCCATCCCCCTGTACTGGCCACATTCAATTTCTACAGCGGTCGTCCTACAGTTTTGGTTTCCCATAAGACCAGTTGGCCTTATCTATAGTTTGCTCTCATCCATCTGCCCAACCTCCCCCTCTTCATATCATGTCACAGACAGAGGAAATAGTCCCAAGCTGGTACAGACATCCTGGCATAACTCCCCTCCAAAAAAGGAAAAAGACAAAAACTAAAAAACCAGTCAAGGTCCAGGCTTAAGGGGGAAGTCTCTGTGAAACAGTTTCAGCAACTGGGGAGCCTGCACATGTTCAGCAGCCACCCACTCAGGGTGCAAGACTCGAGACATCCATTGAACCAGATGATATAAACGTCCCCGAGAAGCTCTTAGAGTCCAAGATAGACTTCATCTCAAAATGAGTATGAGACCCCACCATTATTGGAACAGTCCCAGAGTCAGGTTTAGTTCACAGTTTCCAGTAAAGAGAAAATATGAAGCCAATGAAAACATATGTTGATGCCTTTAAAGAGATTGCACCTGTTCATGTGAATTACACCGGGACTGTGGCGCAGTTGGTTGGGAGTCAGCTGCATTAAGATGACTACTGACCGAAATGTCATGAGTTCGAAGCCAGCCTGGGTCGGAGTGAGTGTCCGACCAATTTGTGTAGCTTGCTGTCAATCTTTGCAGCCTGAAAGACAGTTGCATCTGTCAAGTAGAAAATTTAGGTACAGCCTATGCAGGAAGGCTAATTTAACTAATTTACGATGCTATAAAAATCTCCAGCAAACTTTATCAGTATCACAAAGGGACAGTGAAGCAACAGCTCCCCTGGTGGCCAGAATAGCCTCATGAAAAAGCTGGAATGTTAAATAGCCTCTGTGTGTCTGTCTATATATGTTGTGTGTCTATGGCATTGAATGTTTGCCATGTATTATGTACATTGTAATTTGCCTTGAGTCCCCTGCGAGCTGAGAAGGGCAGAATATAAATACTGTAAATAATAAATAAACAAATAAATAAATAGTCCACCGGGAGGAAGTATAGGCTCACTTGAGCAAACTAACATGGAAAACTGGGTGGACTTTCCTCCGCGGATAAGGCAAGTCCAAGCAAACAGCCACCGGGTAGATAATTGTGGTTATTGCAAAGGGACCAATAAACTGTGGGGACAGCTTCCAAGAGGGCTGTGCGGATTTCAAATACTTGATCGATTAGTAAACCAAGTTCCGCCCTTTGAAACCGGGGTTGCACAGCCTTCTTTTGATCAGCCAATTGTTTGTAATCGTGTTTGGTGGATGCCAGTGTTGAATGTATCATCGGCCAGGTAGCAGCAACCTTCTCTCCCTACTCACTTGGCATCCTTCTAGCTAACTTAGGAAAAGTGGGAAAATCCCCCCCCCCCCACAGCCTTAAATGGGGAGACCCCAGTTGATGAATGGTTGGAATTATAGGATTTGTCAATGAACTCCCTCAAAGCTTTTTTTTTTTTTCTGGCTCAGACATGGCGTAGAACAGGTATGGGCAAACTTTGGCCCTCCAGGTGTTTTGGACTACAATTTCCACAAATCCTAACAGCCGGTAAACAAGAAGCATTAATATGTGCATATGGTTACAGTGAATGAATGATAGGTAACACAAACCCAGTTCAAGGCTTATTATTTGTATTGGAAATAAGCCCGGCATTATTACTTAAACGTGCCGAAACCAGACATGTGAGACAAGCAGCAAGGCATGCAAGGTTGTCCCACCATGAGTGTCAGCATAAGTGCAATTATAATTTATTTATTTATTTATTTACAGCTTTTATATTCCTCCCTTCTCACCCCGCAGGGGACTCAGGGCGGATTACAGTGTACACATATATGGCAAACATTCAATGCCAATTTTGACATACAACATATACAGACATAGACAGAGGCTATTTAACTTTTTCTGGCCGCCAGGGGAGCTGTCGCTTTCATCGTCCATCTGCGACACTGATGAAGTACTTCCGCATTCCCCGCATGCTTTTTGGAGTCTTTTTTATGGCCTCATAAATTAGTTAATTTAGCCTCCCCACACTTTAAGGTGGTACCTTATTTTCCTACTTGACAGATGCAACTGTCTTTCGGGTTGCAAAGGTCGACAACAGGCTACACAATTGGTTGGAAACCCACTCCAATCCAGGCTGGCTTCGAACTCATGACCTTTTGGTCAGAGTGATCTTAATGCAGCTGACACTCAGCCAGCAGCACCACAATCCCGGTTTTGTTGTACAATCCCGGTGCAACAACACATTTCATTTATACATGTTTAGTCCTAGTGTGACCGGGGGCAAGGGGACTTCTACTCAATTGTCCTGCAGAACGAGAATGTTTGTCCCCTTTCCTTTCACATTAAACCCATTGATTGACATGTGTAGTTGGGTGTGGCAGTGTGAATATACAGCTGGATGCATGTGTGTGGCTATTTCCATAATTTCTTTATAGTCTGTTCAATTATTTGACACTCACAAAGTGACAGTGGGGCTGACTAATTCCCTCCCCCCACCCCCACCCCCACATGAGAAGCTGGAGCTGACAGATGGGAGCTTATCCTGCTTCCCAGATTCAAACCGCTGACCTTTTGTCAGTAGTCCTGCCGGCATAAGGGTTTAACCTATTGCACTACTGGGGACTCCTTGATTAATCAATAAAGGGAAAGGTTTCCCTAGACATAAAGTCTAGTCATGGCCAACTCTGGGACTCTGGTGCTCGTCTCCATTTCTAAGCTGAAGAGCCGGTGCCGTCCGTATATGCCCTTGTGTCTGGCATGACTGTATGGAGCACAGTTACCTTCCCGCAGAAATGGTACCTATTGATCTACTCATACTTGCATGTTTTTGAACTGCTAGGTTGGCAGAAGCTGGGGCTAACAGTGGGAGCTCACCCCGCTCCCTGAATTCTAACCACTAACCTTTTGGTCAGC